CCCGACGGATGCTCCTGCATAGAGAGTAGGGAGAGGATGGGAGAGTATTCAAGCAGCCTCAAAGCAATAAGCGGCAGACTCAGAGTCTAATAAAGCTTAGGGATCAACTCAAGCAAAACAAAAAGTGGATCACAGTTGGTGCACAGGCAATCTTGATGACGACAAGATCGCCTCTAATTTTTGGAAGAGAGCGAGGATGTTTGTAGTTACAAAAATTACAATAAATTTAAGTATGTCGAATCTAGAAGCCGAATACACTTCTAGGTTCGCGTTTTAAAGCTGAAAGGGAAGTGTGATTTTAACAGCTTGCCTAATCAACTAATTCGCCATCACATTGGCAGTCCCTCAAGTTTGGACAGTTGAGATTAGATATCCCAAACTTAGCCACTCAGAAAATCGAGAGAAAGGAGACAAGTAAGCTAACGGTGGCCGCTCTTTCAGTGGTTCCTTCCAAAGTTTTATTGCAAGATATAGCAATGACGTTAATAAGCGCCGTATAGAGTTTTGATAGAGTAGTGCATATATTCCAGTACTTTGACAAGTTTTTGCAAATGGCTTACCCATTCTGGATCTCCTATCATAGGTGGGCCAACAAATGCTGATATAACTGTGTTGAAAGGGATTGGTCTCAGTACAAACCACACAATAATCATGTAGAATATGGAAAGAAACGTCCACATGTACAAAACTTTCCCTAACATGATTGAGAATATAAGCTTGGTGGTTACAATAGAGACCATGTACCTTCATAGAGAAATCCAAGGAACCGAGCAGCGGGAACCATCTCTACTAATCTATTGAAAGCAAGAACCATACAGTTAAACGATGCTCCAAACCATAAACCTAATATGTAGTGATTTCGCACAGCTTTCTTTTTAAAGCTGGAATTGAGGTAGCCCCACTGAACATAAGCAGTTGAAGATTATGTTGGAGACCCACAAAATGCACGCAAATGAGAAGTTTCACAAGCATACGAACGTCTTGTACGAGTAATCTGTGACGCACGGAGGGAGAGAGCAAGGACCGTGAATTTTTCCCAAATAAAAAGTCGCATGATTTTTGAAAGTGATCTTTTTACTAAAGAAATTTGGCAAATGGCTTTCTACCGGTGAGGAAGTATGGCGAAATTTTTGCATATGGTTAAGTTCAAATAAGAGTGCTGTGAGTTCAAGATTAGTAGAGGTAATAAACCTACTGTAAGCAAGATGTCCCGCAATCCATTCGAAATTTCTGGAAGAACAAAATACTCCAGCAGTCTGAACTGCCATATAAGATTTGATTATGGAAAGAGTGGAGCTTACAAAGTGAAAATAGGATGTGACGTATGATGTAAGCACAAGATCAGCAATATCAGCAAATCCATTAATCAGCATGAGTTTGTAGCATGGAATCCTCAGCAGATGTCCTCGGTACATTCCGACTAGGCACAGAACATATAAAATCTGAACCAGCTTGTTCGAAGTGGTTGTAGAAATCTTCCTTTATCAATAAATTTCGTACATTGCAATGACATTGGATCCTCACCTCCTTTTGATTTATAATATTTGAGGATAGACAGAGCTCACAAAACAGAAAATCACAAAATCTTTGCATTAAT